GAAAGGTGAATAGAAGAACCCCCTCTCATCAGAAAGGTGAAGAGAAGAACCCCCTCTCAGCAGAAAGGTGAAGAGAAGAACCCCCTCTCAGCAGAAAACTGAGCTTAGTGCTTTTAGACCATCTCTTTTTTTAATAGAGACGGTGGTGGCGTGAGTTAAAGCTATAGACAAAGGCTGTGACTTTCTCCCTCTCAGTGCACTTCACCAGCCACACAGATACAGGGAGGTATTTACACACACACCCCGCGCTGCAGCTGGAGCTGTGTTTAAAGAGGCGATAGTGGTGATATCTCTGGCTGCTTCTTCCTAACTGTCAGTGCTGGCCGCTGAAACCCCTAAAATTCGGCGATTTGTCCAATACAAATCTTTACATTGCTTTCACACAGAAGTTCCACTTTACTGATGCCTTTCTTTGAGGTTTCTCCGAACATGAGCTGTGTATGCTTGTATGGCACTTCCGTCCCGAGCAGCCAGGACAAAGTCCCCAGACACTGATTCCCTGGGCGTTCCAAGCCTCAGATGTTCATCAACCAAAAACGATACACAGCCGCTCAGTTTCATAGGTAATTTTAGGATACCGTCAATCACAGATTCTGGTAAGGCAATGTCCAAATGTGGATTTCAAATTACACTTACCAGTTATGAAGATGTGTTGGTATCCTGCCGACAACGCCAATTAGTGGGGGAAACTTCTGAAGCAATTGGAGTCAGGACTCAAAGAGACACGAGGGAGAGCTGGAGCTTTGATGGCAAACACTGACGGTTTATTTGGAGCTTCGGCCGGAGAATTCACAAGACATGTCACGGGCCGTGGTCTGACCACACGGTTGAGATGCTACAATCAATGTGATGCGCCGGTGAAGATGGCCGCATTGTCTTTGTGCTCCCCTCCAACTTTGCCCATTTTCGTATTTTGTACATATTTTTTTTACTTTTGCCGTTTTACTTTTAACATGGTTCGCAACATGCTAGCCGACCGCACCTACTCTGCCATACAATACAGCAGAGAGGAACTTCTCCAATTGCGAAACTTCGTGGACAATAATAACCCTCCGACAAACAATGGAGATTCACCATGGCTACCTGTTGCTGTTCTACCTGAGAGACGCAAGAAGAGGACAAAGCGCGGATGCCGGGCCGGGTTGCTGGTCAGACTGAGGAAACGAGAGAATCGGCCCCCTCTTCCGAGTATTCTTCTGGCTAATGTTCAATCCATTGAAAATAAGCTAGATGAACTCAGAAGCCGGATTGCTTTTCAACGGGACATTAAGAACTGTAACGTGTTAATTCTCACTGAGACTTGGCTCAACCCCGCTATCCCGGACTCCGCCATTGTTCCTGATGGATTCTCTATTTTTCGTCAGGACCGGACTGCAAACTCGGGGAAAAGTAAGGGAGGCGGTGTGTGTGTAATGACTAACAACAACTGGTGCTCAGATGTGAAGATTATTTCATCGGACTGTTCCGCACATCTTGAGCACCTCATGATCTCATGTCGGGCCTTCCATTTGCCGAGGGAATTCACATCTGTTGTGATAACAGCAGTGTATATCCCGCCGCAGCCACTCGCCGACAACAACACGGCACTCGATCAGCTGTTTGGGATTATTGATAAAACCGAGACTTCACGGCCAGATGCGGCGTTCGTTGTGGCCGGAGATTTCAACACCGCCAACATGAAGAAGGTTTTGCCAAAATATTACCAACACATCAGCTTCCCGACGCGCGGGGTTAACATACTGGACCATGTTTCTTCCCCTTTCCGGAATGGATATAAGGCTCTCCCTCGCCCTCCCTTCGGCAAATCATACCATATCTCACTACTGTTGTTGCCTGCATACAAGCAGAAACTTAAAAGGGACAGACCGATTACAAGAACAGTACAACGATGGAGCGAGGAGTCAGATGCAGCACTGCAGGATTGCTTTGCATCCACGGATTGGAGTGTGTTTGAGGACAATAACATCAACACACACACGGACACTGTCATCTGCTACATTGGGAAATGCATCGATGACGTGGTACCGAAGGTTTCTGTACGGACATTCCCAAATCAAAAGCCATGGATAAACTCCGATGTGGGCTGCAAGCTGAGAGCGCGTACTATCGCGCACACAGCGGGAGATTTGGAGGAGTACAGGAAGTCTAGGTATGATCTCCGGAGAGCAATTAAAAATGCAAAGAGACAGTACAAAGAGAAGGTGGAATCTGACTTCAAAGGCTGTAACACTAGGAATATGTGGGCGGGAATAAGGACAATGACTGACTACAAAGGAGCAGCGGGGGGTGCTGCGGGAGTGTCTGCGTGCGCATCTCTCCCAGATGAGCTGAACAGTTTTTTTGCACGCTTTGAGAGCAGCCAGGCTGTGGAGGTACAGAGGGACCAGGAGCTACACTGCCCTTTTGTTTTAAATAGGGCAGATGTGTGTAAATCCTTTAAAAGGGTTAACCCACACAAGGCTCCTGGACCTGATGGCATCCCTGGCCGTGTTCTCAGGGTGTGTGCAGTTCAGCTGGCAGAGGTGTTCACAGACATCTTCAACAGGTCCCTGCTGCAGTCTGTAGTCCCCACATGTCTTAAACACTCCACCATCGTTCCTGTCCCCAAAAAGACAATCATCACCTGCCCCAACGACTACCGCCCAGTAGCACTCACCTCCATCATAATGAAGTGCTTTGAGCGGTTAGTCAAATCATTCATCACCTCCTCCCTCCCTGACTCTCTGGACCCCCTGCAGTTTGCCTACAGAGCAAACAGGTCCACTGACGACGCCATAGCCCTCACCATCCACACTGCCCTCTCACACCTGGACCCGAAGAACAGGAACACATATGTGAGAATGCTGTTCATTGACTACAGTTCAGCATTCAATACCATTGTGCCCTCCAAGCTGGCCATCAAGCTCAGAGACCTCGGGCTCAACAGCGCCCTCTGTGACTGGATCCTGAACTTCCTGACGGGCAGACCCCAGGCAGTGCGGGTGGGAAACATCACATCCTCCACCCTGATTCTAAACACCGGTGCCCCTCAAGGCTGCGTGCTCAGCCCTCTCCTCTACTCCCTGTTCACCCACGACTGTGTGGCCACACACAGCTCCAACACCATCGTGAAGTTTGCTGATGACACGACCGTCATCGGCCAGATCACAGACGATGACGAGACGGCGTACAGAGAGGAGGTCGAAAACCTGACATCTTGGTGCCAGGATAACAACCTCCATCTCAACATCAGCAAAACAAAGGAGCTGATTGTGGATTACAGGAAGCAGCAGGGAGAGGGGCACGCCCCCATCGCCATCAATGGGACTACGGTGGAGAGAGTCAAAAGCTTCAGGTTCCTTGGGGTCCACATCACTGAGGACCTGACATGGTCTCTTCACACCACCACCATCACCAAGAAAGCTCGACAGCGGCTCTTCTTCCTCCGCAGGTTGAGGAGGTTCAAAATGGATTCCAGGATACTCTGCAACTTCTACAGGTGCACGATAGAGAGTATCCTCACTGGCAGCATGACGGCCTGGTACGGCAGCTGCACCGACCTCGATCGTAAGGCTTTACAGAGGGTGGTGAAAACTGCACAGCACATCACCAGGACGGAGCTGCCATCCATGGAGGACCTTTACTCCCAGCGGCTCAGGAAGAAATCACTACGGATTATCAAAGACCCCCATCACCCCAGCCACAAACTGTTCTTTCTGTTGCCGTCTGGCAGACGTTACCGCAGCATCCTGGCAAGGACAAGAAGATTCGGAGACAGTTTCTTCCCGCGGGCAGTGAGACTGTTAAAAAATTGAACTGTTGAAACAACATCAAACATTCATCTGCTACTCAGTAGTATGTATCTAATACCTAATATATATATATCATTCCAATAACTTGTATATAGACTCTATTGCACTATTCCACATCATAACTTTATTTCATTTTATAACTATTATTATTTTTGTATTGCTCATGCTCTTATTGTTATTATGTTATTATGTTGCATTGTTGGAGAAGCCTGTGACATAAGATTTTCAACTACATAATTACTCTGTAACTATGTCAGATTGACAATAAAGAACCTTGAACCTTGAACCTTGAACTCTACCCCAGACCCGTGTATTTAGCTAGTTCAGAGAGAATAATCAACATTGTGGATAACAAGATAGAATCATAACACATCTATCAGCTGACGCCAACAGGCAGGAACAGGGAGACAAAACACTGAGAGCACAGCAGCCAAGTGTGTGCTCAGTTAGGACACACTGATAAACTGGGTCAAAGTTATGGGCCTTGGAAAATATTTCCCCAACAACAACTTTATTCCTACCATTTTGTTTCACTTTTGTTTGTGAACTCTTTCTAATGAGAGATGACTCGTAGGTTATTTATTTTAGTAACATTTTTGCATTATATTTATTTCTACTACTTTTATTTTTACGATTTCGATATTATTTATTTTTATATTTTATGTATTAATATGAACTCCTTATTTATACCTTTAATGCATTATTTTCAGACATTTATTTTATTAACATTTTTACAATTTCTTTAAATATGTAATTAGCCCTTTATTTAAGATGTATGCAGTACTTTAGTTCTACCATTTTGTTTTGTTTTATGTTCTTGAACTCTTTCTAATGAGAGATGACGATATGAGTATTTGATTGGTCGGTTGGCGCTCAATGGGCGGGGTTTGTGTCTGTGCTCGGCTGTTCATTGGTTGTTTTAGGGGAAAAGGCTTTTAATAATGTTCTTTTATTAACATTTTGCCAGTACTTTCAAATACTTAAATACCCGTTTTAATGCGTTAGATATTTTTTAAATTTTAAATGTTACGATGTCTGTATTATTTTATTTATTTTACTTGTATGTTATTGAACTCTTTCTAATGAGAACTGATGATAACGGCTGTTCATTGGTTGTTTTAAGTGGAAGAGGCTCGCTCGTCGTCTGCCCATTGGTTGGTCGATAAGGCAGTGGGCGGAGCTAAGTTTGAACCAGAAAGAGGTTTCAGGTTTCATTAGCATTGAAGCTAAGCTCCGTTACTAACAGCGGAGACTTCTGAGACACTTTTCCCGTCCTGGGTCACTCCTCAGCGGGCTTTAGAGGACCGGTAACCGCCGTGTTGGTGGTTGTATCCGTTGTTACGAAGTGGTTCTTTGTGATCATGGCGGAGGTATCGGACCCGGAGAAGAGGAGAGGAGCTGCGGGGAGGAAGAGCCAGCAGAGCCGCAGGAAGAGGACCAACAACCGGGTACAGATCCACAGAAAGATCGATATCTATATATATATGATCGATAGCTGCTCCTGGTTCAACAGAGTACTCAGATCCTCTACTTTAGTAAAGGGAGAAGTACTCGGATATGTTACTTTAGTAAAGGGAGAAGTACTCAGAGCCTGTACTTTATATGTTATGCTGCTGCAACGCAAAACATTCCCAAATTGGGATCAATAAAGTACTTTTTATCTTTATACTCAGATCTTGTACTTTAGTAAAAGTAGAAGTACTCTGATCTTGTACTTGAGTAAAAGTAGAAGTACTCAGGTCTTGTACTTGAGTAAAAGTAGAAGTACTCGGATCTTGTACTTGAGTAAAAGTAGAAGTACTCAGGTCTTGTACTTAGTAAAAGTAGAAGTACTCAGGTCTTGTACTTGAGTAAAAGTAGAAGTACTCAGGTCTTGTACTTGAGTAAAAGTAGAAGTACTCAGATCTTGTACTTGAGTAAAAGTAGAAGTACTCGGATCTTGTACTTGAGTAAAAGTAAAAGTACTCAGATCTTGTACTTGAGTAAAAGTAGAAGTACTCAGATCTTGTACTTGAGTAAAAGTAGAAGTACTCAGGTCTTGTACTTGAGTAAAAGTAGAAGTACTCCGATCTTGTACTTAGTAAAAGTAGAAGTACTCAGGTCTTGAGTAAAAGTAGAAGTACTCAGATCTTGTACTAGAGTAAAAGTAGAAGTACTCAGATATTGTACTAGAGTCAAAGTAGAAGTACTCAGATCTTGTACTTGAGTAAAAGTAGAAGTACTCAGATCTTGTACTTGAGTATAAGTATAAGTACTCAGACTTTGTACTTGAGTAAAAGTAGAAGTACTCGGATCTTGTACTTGAGTAAAAGTAGAAGTACTCAGGTCTTGTACTTGAGTAAAAGTAGAAGTACTCAGATCTTGTACTTAGTAAAAGTAGAAGTACTCAGACCTTGTACTTGAGTAAAAGTAGAAGTACTCGGATCTTGTACTTGAGTAAAAGTAGAAGTACTCAGATGTTGTACTTAGTAAAAGTAGAAGTACCAGAGTGTAGGAATACTCTGTTACAGTAAAATTACTGTATTCAAAATGTTCCTCAAGTTAAAGTAGACAAGTATTATCATAAAAAATATAGTTAAAGTACAAAACTAAGTACATTTAATCAAGTACTGTACCTAATTACAATTTAGAGGTACTTGTACTTTACTTAGCTTAACTATCATGGTTTAATATCTCTCTAAAATAATGACTTAGTATGATCTTTATTTAATTATAAATGTCTCTATAAAATGGCCTCAGTAATGTGTTTCAATGCCTCTGGGTTCAGCCTCTAAATGTGTTCTCATTGTTTAAGAAATGTGCAGACATCACCCTGACAGCTCCACATACTCAGACATTATTTCATTTAAATATTTTAAATGTATTTTATTTTGAGATATTAAGTCATTATTTTGAGATATTTCAGGAACTAAGTTATCATTTTTAGATACTTAGTCATTATTTCAGAGAGATATTAAACCATAATAGTTAATTACTTTCCAGATACTAGCTCAGAGCTAGCACAAAGCTCCCGTTCTAGCTGAGGAAGGCCCAGGTGGTGTGAGGTCTCTGAATGCAGGGTGTTGTTGTTTCAGGTGACTCTGGAGAAAGTTTTGGGCATAAGCACATCCAGCAGCAGCGGTTTGACCTCTGACCCCAAATCTGGGCTCATCGCCTACCCTGCAGGGTAAGCCCCGCCTCCTTTCACTCACCTGTACCACGGGACATATTTCCCAGCATGCTTTTCTGTGTCCGTCTGGGTGATGAAACGTTCGCTGTGTTTCAGGTGTGTCATCGTGCTGCTTCACCCCAAGACAAACAAACAGAGTCACATCGTCAACACGTCCAGGTCAGTACTGCAACGAAAAGAACAATATCAACACAGTAAATATAAATAAATAAGAAAGGCAGTGTTACGCCCAGGTCAAGGGGAACCTAGGCGCAGCACAACATTTGCACTCTCCCCACTTTTCCCACTCCCAAGAACATGGACACCGAGACAGAGAAAGCCGCTTGGTCATTTTAATTACCAACGTTTTTACAAAGAGGCGCAACAACCCACAAAACAAACAAATCTTTGAACACATAAATCTTGCCGAACAAATAAGAAAAATAAACGTACAGGCTTCTTACCTACTCGTATAAACAGGAGAAAACGAGAATTAACTAAAAGAAAAGGGTTTCACACTTTCACACAAATTAAAGCGTGTCCAACAAGGACAGGTTAACGTAGTTTCTATGTGTACGGTATAGGTACACCCACAGCATAACAGGACAGATATAAATACGCAACAGTGTTGGGAGTAGGAGAAGTCGAGTCAGAGAGGGCCGAGGAACTGCACGGCTGCAGCTCAAATGCTCCCGTCTCCTCAGGGGGACCAATCAGCCTGTCGAGGAAAATAGAGAGGGTTGTGTTTTCTGACACTTGGTGAGTTCCCTGGAACACCGGGGACACATATTCATGTATAAAAGACGTACAAAAGTGCATTTTGCATGATAGGTCCCCTTTAAATGACTTGAGAGAGGCGAGCTCTTCTTGGGAGGCCGTTGCATTTATTTAGTTGTTCTTCTGTTTCACAAAATACATCACAGACCTCTGTTTTTCTGCTGCCTCGTTTCACTTCCAGAAACATACACACGCTCCCTCACTGTCGCTCTACCATCCACACACATGCACACGCCACACCCCTCTCTCTCTCTCTCTTAAAGGGACAGCGATCTCATCTCACTCTGCAGACCCTAATATCATAACATGTGGGTTCTGGAGAATCACAGAACGGACCATCGTCCTTATTATTATGCCGTTTAAACCAATTATTTAAATGTGTTTGTTAAATTAGGCATCATGTAAGTTGTGCTGACAGGTCCACACACTGCTTCCCCGCAGCGAGGCCCCCCCGCCCTCCTGTTGATCGTTCACGAGCGTCAAGCTCCTCACCCCCCCCTCGTTGATAATTCACGATCGTCGGCACGCTGATACATTTTCTTTTTTGTCATGGCACTTCATATCAAAAAGGTTGCCGACCCCTGAAACGTAGTAAAGATACGTAGTAAATAACACAGTATTAAACGCAGTAAACGTGTGTTTGTGTTTCAGAAAGCCCTTCAGTGCTCTGGCCTTCTCCCACGATGGGAAGCACCTGGTCACCGGGGAGGTAAGAGAAACACACCTGAGGCTCACACACACACCTGAGGCAGGACAGGTAGAGGTGTGTATGTATTGTCCCTCCTGCCCTTGAGCAAGGCACCTGCTGTACCTGCACGCTGTCCAATAGCTGCCTAGTACTACTAGTACTCCTAGGCTCCTAGTACTCCTAGGCTCCTAGTACTCCTATGGCGCATTTCCATTGCAGCGCGTAGCTCGCTTTAAGCGTGCCGTGTCGTGCCGTCCCCTTTTTTGGTTGTGCTTCCACTAGGCCTCGTTCCGGCGCGGCACGGCGCGGGGCCACTTTTTCCCCTCTTTTCTGGCCCTAGAAAATTGTGGTTCTATCGGGGCCAACAAACAGGGCTGAGTCGGGCTGAGTATGCTAAACTAGAGAGAGGAGCGCTGGCAAGAGGGCTAGAACTACAACAAGATGGACATATTTGACCGTGATTTAATTGTAATACACGTTTCAAAATGATGCCGAAGTAACAACATACTGATACCGGTTAGTAAAAACCATGAATTAATGCTTTGTCAAGTCTGCAGACAGACGGGAGGCGAAAAACCTTTTAAAATTCGTGTTTTTCTAGATGGAGATTGGCTAAGCTAACGCAGTATATGCCCCGACCGTCCACACTCACAACAACGGCCTATACAGACATAAATAAAGCAGTGACTGTATTCACCATGACACAGGCAGTCTGTGGTTTGTACTTGTTTAACTTTTGTCGAGTTTCTGAACATATATAAGGAGCTGTGAGCTCTGAGTGCTCACAGCTAACGGCTGTGTTGTGTTTCTGGAGTTCTCATTGAAGATGACGTCACGGCTCCGCCTACACTGCGTTACTATAGTAACTACCCCAGTTCCTAAACTGTAATGGAAGTGCAGCATGAAGTGAGTCGGCCCTGTTAAGGCCCAACGCGGCCAAGCCGTACCGAGCCGTACCGAGTGTGGCCGAGGCCGACCGTGTAGTGGAAATGCGCCACTAGTACTCCTAGGCTCCTAGTACTCCTAGGCTCCTAGTGCTCCTAGTACTCCTAGGCTCCTAGTACTCCTAGTACTCCTAGGTTCCTAGGCTCCTAGTACTCCTAGTACTCCTAGTACTCCTAGGCTCCTAGTACTCCTAGTACTCCTAGTACTCCTAGGCTCCTAGTACTCCTAGGCTCCTAGTACTCCTAGGCTCCTGGTGCTCCTAGTACTCCTAGGCTCCTAGTACTCCTAGTACTCCTAGGCTCCTAGTACTCCTAGGCTCCTAGTACTCCTAGTACTCCTAGGCTCCTAGTACTCCTAGGCTCCTAGTACTCCTAGGCTCCTAGTGCTCCTAGTACTCCTAGGCTCCTAGTACTCCTAGGCTCCTGGTGCTCCTAGTACCCCTAGGCTCCTAGTACTCCTAGGCTCCTAGTGCTCCTAGTGCTCCTAGTACCCCTAGGCTCCTAGTACTCCTAGTACTCCTAGGCTCCTAGGCTCCTAGTACTCCTAGGCTCCTAGTACTCCTAGGCTCCTAGTACTCCTAGGCTCCTAGTACTCCTAGGCTCCTAGTACTCCTAGGCTCCTAGTGCTCCTAGTACTCCTAGGCTCCTAGTACTCCTAGTACTCCTAGGCTCCTAGTACTCCTAGTACTCCTAGTGCTCCTAGTACTCCTAGTGCTCCTAGTACTCCTAGGCTCCTAGTACTCCTAGGCTCCTAGTGCTCCTAGTACTCCTAGGCTCCTAGTGCTCCTAGTACTAGGATGGGTTAAAAGCAGAGAACACCACAACCAACAAAAAAACAATGGGTAACAATTGTGGAAGAAATCTTTTTGATGGAAAAACGTGTGTGTGTGTGTGTGTGTGTGTGTGTGTGTGTGTGTGTGTGTGTGTGTGTGTGTGTGTGTGTGTGTGTGTGTGTGTGTGTGTGGTGTGTGTGGTGTGTGTGTGTGTGTGTGTGTGTGTGTGTGTGTGTGTGTGTGTGTGTGTGTGTGTGTGTGTGTGTGTGTGTGTGTGTGTGTGTGTGTGTGTGTGTGTGTTGTGTGTGTGTGTGTGTGTGTGTGTGTGTGTGTGTGTGTGTGTGTGTGTGTGTGTGTGTGTGTGTGTGTGTGTGTGTGTGTGTGTGTGTGTGTCAGAGTGGTCACATGCCCTGTGTGCGGGTGTGGGAGTTGGAGGGGGGGCAGGTGGCGGAGGTTCAGTCTCATAAATACGGAGTCTCCTGCGTGGCGTTCTCCACCAACAGCTGCTACGTCGTCTCCGTGGGATACCAGCACGACAAGACCGTCAGCGTGTGGGACTGGAGGGTGAGCATAGAAACGACTTCATGTCTCTTCTACATCAACATGTGTCCCCTCTTCTACATCAACATGTGTCCCCTCTTCTTCATGTCTCTTCTACATCAACATGTGTCCCCTCTTCTTCATGTCTCTTCTACATCAACATGTGTCCCCTCTTCTTCATGTCTCTTCTTCATCAACATGTGTCGTCTCTTCTACATCAACATGTGTCCCCTCTTCTTCATGTCTCTTCTACATCAACATGTGTCCCCTCTTCTTCATGTCTCTTCTACATCAACATGTGTCCCCTCTTCTTCATGTCTCTTCTTCATCAACATGTGTCCCCTCTTCTCCATGTCTCTTCTACATCAACATGTGTCCCCTCTTCTTCATGTCTCTTCTACATCAACATGTGTCCCCTCTTCTTCATGTCTCTTCTACATCAACATGTGTCCCCTCTTCTTCATGTCTCTTCTACATCAACATGTGTCCCCTCTTCTTCATGTCTCTTCTACATCAACATGTGTCCCCTCTTCTTCATGTCTCTTCTTCATCAACATGTGTCCCCTCTTCTTCATGTCTCTTCTACATCAACATGTGTCCCCTCTTCTTCATGTCTCTTCTTCATCAACATGTGTCCCCTCTTCTTCATGTCTCTTCTACATCAACATGTGTCCCCTCTTCTTCATGTCTCTTCTACATCAACATGTGTCCCCTCTTCTTCATGTCTCTTCTCATCAACATGTGTCCCCTCTTCTTCATGTCTCTTCTTCATGTCTCTTCTACATCAACATGTGTCCCTCTTCTTCATGTCTCTTCTACATCAACATGTGTCCCCTCTTCTTCATGTCTCTTCTACATCAACATGTGTCCCCTCTTCTTCATGTCTCTTCTTCATCAACATGTGTCCCCTCTTCTTCATGTCTCTTCTACATCAACATGTGTCCCCTCTTCTTCATGTCTCTTCTACATCAACATGTGTCCCCTCTTCTTCATGTCTCTTCTACATCAACATGTGTCCCCTCTTCTTCATGTCTCTTCTACATCAACATGTGTCCCCTCTTCCTCATGTCTCTTCTACATCAACATGTGTCCCCTCTTCTTCATGTCTCTTCTACATCAACATGTGTCCCCTCTTCTTCATGTCTCTTCTTCATGTCTCTTCTACATCAACATGTGTCCCCTCTTCTTCATGTCTCTTCTACATCAACATGTGTCCCCTCTTCTTCATGTCTCTTCTTCATGTCTCTTCTACATCAACATGTGTCCCCTCTTCTTCATGTCTCTTCTACATCAACATGTGTCCCCTCTTCTTCATGTCTCTTCTTCATGTCTCTTCTACATCAACATGTGTCGTCTCTTCTTCATGTCTCTTCTACATCAACATGTGTCCCCTCTTCTTCATGTCTCTTCTTCATGTCTCTTCTACATCAACATGTGTCCCCTCTTCTTCATGTCTCTTCTACATCAACATGTGTCCCCTCTTCTTCATGTCTCTTCTACATCAACATGTGTCCCCTCTTCTTCATGTCTCTTCTTCATCAACATGTGTCCCCTCTTCTTCATGTCTCTTCTACATCAACATGTGTCCCCTCTTCTTCATGTCTCTTCTACATCAACATGTGTCCCCTCTTCTTCATGTCTCTTCTACATCAACATGTGTCCCCTCTTCTTCATGTCTCTTCTACATCAACATGTGTCCCCTCTTCATCATGTCTCTTCTACATCAACATGTGTCCCCTCTTCTTCATGTCTCTTCTTCATCAACATGTGTCCCCTCTTCTCCATGTCTCTTCTACATCAACATGTGTCCCCTCTTCTTCATGTCTCTTCTACATCAACATGTGTCCCCTCTTCTACATCAACATGTGTCCCCTCTTCTTCATGTCTCTTCTACATCAACATGTGTCCCCTCTTCTTCATGTCTCTTCTACATCAACATGTGTCCCCTCTTCTTCATGTCTCTTCTTCATCAACATGTGTCCCCTCTTCTTCATGTCTCTTCTACATCAACATGTGTCCCCTCTTCTTCATGTCTCTTCTTCATCAACATGTGTCCCCTCTTCTTCATGTCTCTTCTACATCAACATGTGTCCCCTCTTCTTCATGTCTCTTCTACATCAACATGTGTCCCCTCTTCCTCATGTCTCTTCTACATCAACATGTGTCCCCTCTTCTTCATGTCTCTTCTTCATCAACATGTGTCCCCTCTTCTTCATGTCTCTTCTACATCAACATGTGTCCCCTCTTCCTCATGTCTCTTCTTCATCAACATGTGTCCCCTCTTCTCATGTCTCTTCTTCATCAACATGTGTCCCCCTTCTTTCTTCATGTCTCTTCTTCATCACATGTGTCCCCTCTTCTTCATGTCTCTTCTACATCAACATGTGTCCCCCTCTTCTTCATGTCTCTTCTACATCAACATGTGTCCCCCTCTTCTTCATGTCTCTTCTTCATCAACATGTGTCCCCTCTTCTCATGTCTCTTCTACATCAACATGTGTCCCCTCTTCTTCATGTCTCTTCTACATCAACATGTGTCCCCCCTCTTCTTCAATGTCTCTTCTACATCAACATGTGTCCCCTCTTCTTCATGTCTCTTCTTCATCAACATGTGTCCCCTCTTCTCCATGTCTCTTCTACATCAACATGTGTCCCCCCTCTTCTTCATGTCTCTTCTACATCAACATGTGTCCCTCTTCTTCATGTCTCTTCTACATCAACATGTGTCCCCTCTTCTTCATGTCTCTTCTACATCAACATGTGTCCCCTCTTCTTTCCTGTCTCTTCTACATCAACATGGTCCCCTCTACTCTCATGTCCCTCTTCTTTACATCAAAACATGTGTCCCCTTCTTCTTCATGTCCTCTTCTACATCAAACATGTGTCCCCTCTTCATTCATGTCTCTTCTTACTCACATGTGTCCCCTCTTCTTCATGTCCTCTTCTACATCAACCATGTGTCCCCTCTTCTCCATGTCCTCTTCTTACATCAACATGTGTCCCCCTCTCTTCATGTCTCTTCTACATCAACATGTGTCCCCTCTTTCTACATCAAACATTGTTGTCCCCTCTTCTTCATGCCTCTTCTACATCACATGTGTCCCTCTTCTTCATGTCTCTTCTACATCAAACATGTGTCCCACTTCTTCTTCATGTCCTCTTCTTAATCAACAGGTGTCCTCTCTATGTCTCGTCGACATCACATGTGTCCCCTCTTCTTCATGTCTCTTTCTACATCAACATGTGTCCCCCCTCCTTCTTCATGTCTCTCTACATCAACATGTGTCCCACTCTGCTTTCATCGCTCTCTTCTTACATCAACATGTGTCCCCTCCCTCTTCTCCATGTCTCTTCTACAATCAACATGTGTCCCCCTCTTCTTCATGTCTCTTCTACATCAACATGTGTCCCTCTTCTTCATGCTCTTCACATCAACATGTGTCCCCTCTTCTTCATGTCTCTTCTACATCAACATTGTCCCTCTTCTTCATGTCTCCTTCTACATCAACATGTGTCCCCTCTTCTTCATGTCTCTTCTTCATCAACATTGTCCCCTCCCCCCCCTCTTCCTCCATTCATCTTCTACATCAACATGTTGTGCCCTCTTCTTCAATGTCTCTTCTGCGACATCAACATGTGTCCCCTCTTCTTCAATGTCTCTTCTTACATCAACATGTGTCCCTCTTCTTCATGTCTCTTCTTCATGTCTATGTCGATTCTACAATCAACATGTGTCCCGTCTTCTTCAATGTCCTCTTCTTACATCAACATGTGTCCCTCTTCTTCATGTCTCTTCTACATCAACATGTGTACACCCTCTTCTTCATTGTCTCTTCTACATTCACAACATGTGTCCCCTCTTCTTCAATGTCTCTTCTTCATGTCTCTTCTACATCAACATGTGTCCCCTCTTCTTCATGTCTCTTCTACAAACATGTGTCCCCTCTTCTTCATGTCTTTCTCATGTCTCTTCTACATCAACATGTGTCCCTCTTCTTCATGTCTCTTCTACATCAACATGTGTCCCTCTCTTCATGTCTCTTCTTCATGTCTCTTCTACATCAACATGTGTCGTTCTCTCATGCTCTACTACATAAACATGTGTCCCCTCTTCTTCATGTCTCTTCTTCATGTCTCTTCTACATCAACATGTGTCCCCTCTTTTCATGTCTCTTCTTCATGTCTCTTCTACATCAACAGTGTGTCTCTTCTTCATGTCTCTTCTACATCAACATGTGTCCCCTCTTCTTCATGTCTCTCTCATGTCTCTTCTACATCAACATGTGTCCCTCTTCTTCATGTCTCTTCTACATCAACATGTGTCCCTCTTCTTCATGTCTCTTCGACATCAACATGTGCCCCTCTTCTTCATGTCTCTTCTTCATCAACATGTGTCCCTCTTCTTCATGTCTCTTCTACATCAACATGTGTCCCTTCTTCATGTCTCTTCTACATCAACATGTGTCCCCTCTTTTCATGTCTCTTCTACATCAACATGTTGTCCCCCTTCTCATGTCTCTTCTACATCAACATGTGTCCCCTCTTCATCATGTCTCTTCTACATCAACATGTGTCCCCTCTTCTTCATGTCTTCTACATCAACATGTGTCCCTCTTCTTCATGTCTCTCTACATCAACATGTGTCCCCTCTCATCATGTCTCTTCTACATCAACATGTGTCCCCTCTTCTTCATGTCTCTTCTTCATCAACATGTGTCCCTCTTCTTCATGTCTCTTTACATCAACATGTGTCCCCTCTTCTCCATGTTCTTCTACATCAACATGTGTCCCCTCTTCTTCATGCTCTTCTACATCAACATGTGTCCCCTCTTCATCATGTCTCTTCTACATCAACATGTGTCCCCCTTCTTAGGTCTCATCTTCAGCAACATGTGTCCCCATCTTCTTCATTGTCTCGTCTTCAATCAACATGTGTGTGTCCCCCTGCTTCTTCTTCATGTCTCTTCTTCTACAATCAACATGTGGTCCCCCTCTTCTTCATGTCTCTTCTTACAGATAACATGT